TGGAACAAACCCTAAAATCGGGCATCTTTCCGAGTTTTCTATGTTGGAGGTACGAAGCGTCAACACTGAAGGCGCTGGTCAAGGACTGGGCATTTTTTAACCTACGGAATATGGGGGAAAATTAACAAATTAAAAAGCATAGACGTCTGCACACCTTTCGTTATACCAGATGGGAAGATAGATAGTATGAAATCATGTAGGAAATAATGCCTGGCAGCTTACTGCGTCCATACTGATGGATTCCATGCATGCAGTTAAGGTAGGCAAAAAAATTGACCCAAATGTGATTAAATTCACGGCGCATGATGAGCCTCGTAGAACGTTGGCTGCGCAAATGCCTTCCCTGTTGTATGGGTTTGACTGCCACAGAGGCCGCGAATTTTTCAAAATTGGGTCCATCGAATAGTATAATCTGTAGTAATGTTCTATTTTACCGAGCCTTATTTCCTAGGAATTATTTTTAGGAGCTGCATCAACAGCTCATCGTAGCATCCTTTCTGAAGCTTTTACTTCTCATTTAGAACGGGCGACACCAAAACCGAAGGCACTGTTTTCGTGTATTATACTGAATGGTAATTATTGCTATCTCAACGACTTGCCTAACTACTCAGTAGAAGACCGCGATCGGACGAATAGCCCTAGAGAGGAGATGGTGGAGAGAACCTTGCACCTTCGAAGGAGACTTCTTCACTTGAACGATATCTTTACTTGGTTGTCATTTCCCATCCCATCACACGAAAACCTATTTTCAGAACTAACAAAATGTGAGGGAGTAGAGGTCCCGTGTTTGCGTTACTTATTTGATGAAGTCGGTAGGGCACCAAGCGTTTACTATAATTGAAAAGTTTTGGATTTACAGTATAGACCTTTAATTAGTGAAATAATTGCGCGAGGTTAATCGTCAGGATATCCTGAATGATTCAGTGGTCGACAAGCAAAAAACTGTTAATACAAGCGAACATGCGAGTCCCAGGAAGTAATTGAGAAGATGACTCGATCGCTGGGAAAATACTTTTATTCGACTGACGTTTCGAGATCCGCCGCGGATTCGTCATCAGAGACATAGTTCTAGAACAGTAGCACACACAAACTGTTTCTGCTACTGTTCTGTGAGTATGTCTCTGATGATGAATCCGCGTTCAGGTGTATGAGTAAACTTACTCGGGTTAGATAACACTCATTCTGAAGGCAATTCTGGCATCATTTCGACCCATTGTTTCATAGGCACTTCGCAACAGTAGTTTGCAATGAGTTGTGATATTTTTCTATTGGCTTTAGACCGTAAAATGGCTAACAAAACCCTTAATTATCGACTGAAGGGGCTTCCCGAAATTACGATCAGTGCATGTACAATGGCGTCCGAATACTGGACCACAAAATATTGGTTTGGCCTCCTATTAGTCTGATGTCTAGTTTTGCCTCCGGTTAGTCAATTTTGATTTCATTTCTTTTTCCCCTGGAATAAAGTTTAAAATAACTAGCTGGCAACCAGCTGCATATCACAGTGAAATGTGAGCACTGCACTGCAATTTAAGAACAAGTAGACTCACCAGAGGATTGAGAGATCGAAATTCATCAGGAGCCACTTGTGTGGATTGAAAGCGAATGACGTAGAATACTAGAAGACAGAAGGGGCAGAATGCATCACGCTTCTAAGGATCACTTGGACAGAAACAGCCACAATATCAAGCAAGGTAAGGCAAGAATCCTGGGGCAGAAATTCGATTTTTACCACCACAGTTTCTTCGAGTGGGCATTTATTTGTGCCATACAATTGGTAGTTTATTTTCATCCATGCCGAAACTAAAA